TTTACCCATTTATTTAGTGGCTCTAAACGTGTACATTCAGTAAATACTAGCCACACTTTTTGTAATTACCTTGGTCAAAATTTTAACTTTCACGTTTGATTTAATTAAAGTGTTTATACTTTTTAGGATAGCACTGATGATGGAATAGGTATTCCAAAAACGTTCTGTTGTGTAGTTAGATACGGTTGATAGATGACAAAAGTAGCTTACCGTGAGTATTTTTTGTGTTCTTGGCAATCAAGATCAAGACTGGGCTCCTCACATATGTTGCCAAACCCGTGCAGCAAATCTAAGTAATTGATTAAATGGCAAACGTTGTTCTATATCGTTTGCAGCTCCAATAATTTATCGCGAACCAACAAATAATTACTTCTGCATGACAAAAGTGTCTGGGTTTTCAAGGAAGAGCAAGCATAAAATTGAATATCCGCATAATCCTTCGGCAATAAAACCGGTTGTTTATGAAGAAGATTTACAAGTTATAAGATACACGGCAAATTGGGAGAAAAATTTGGAAATGTATGATCATAAAAGTAAACCCGATGATGTATCAGAAAAGGGCGATTCTTATTTTCCCGAAAGCGAAATAAAACGCCTCATTTTATCCAATAAGATGAATTAAAAGATTTAGTTCGACACCTTCACTTTTCTAAAGAACATGCTGAACTCTTAGGTGCTAGATTACAAGAATGGAATTTACTACCCAGTGGAACCAAAGTTACAATATTTAGGAACTGTAACCAGGAGTTATCCTCGTTTTTTACTATACAGAATAAAATATGTGTTTGTGATAATCCAAATAATGACATGGAAAAATTAGGTTTTGCACATAGCCCAGAAGAATGGAGGTTGTTTATAGATTCTTCTAAATAAAATCTTAAAGCAGTTCTGCTCCATAATGACAACAAAAGACCATCTATTCCTCTTGAACATACAGTTCACATGAAAGAAACACACGAAAATATGTCGCTTATCCTAAATGTAATAAGCTATGATACATATTATGAGTAGCAATTATGTTGTGACCTAAAAGTCATCGGATTATTACTAGGTCTTCAGGAAGAATTTACCAAATTTTGCTGTTTTCTTTGTTTTTGTGACAGTATAGCAACACAGAGCGATTACCAAGTTAAAGAATAGTCTCCAAGAGATCAATATGTCCCAGTTCCAGTTAAAAACATTCTATTATCTCCGTTACATATTAAACTAAGATTAATTAATAATTTAATTAAAGCATTAGATAAATGAGATGTACTTAAATACCTTAAACAAATTTTTCCTAAATTAAGTGATGCGAAGCTGGAACAAGAGTTATTTGTTGGCCACAAATCCGAAAAAATACTCAGGGATCAACAGTTTGATGAAAAATTAAGTGATGTTGAGTTAAGCGAATTCGTTCAAAATTGATTACGGATGTGTTGCATATGAATCTGCCAGCACAACAACGTTAAAACCTTTGGATACGTTAGATAACGTCAATCCCTAAGGATTATACTTAGAACCTACAGACCAAGTCCGATAAAGAGCATATAAACTGAAATAGGTGAACCCACGTTAAAGTTTCGTAGGCAGCTATTAACCCTTATTTTTACTTCTAGCCAATTGTATACAAAAGAACTTCTTCTTCTTCTTAGTCGTTAACCTGATGCAGGTATCGTGATATCATGAAGCTGTTAGGTAATTTTTCCAATGTTCCTCCACGTTTTTCTATCTTCTGCCAATCTAGCACATTCTGACAATGGAGCGCCAATGGTAGCAACAATATGGTCCGTGTATCGTGTAGGAGATCTACCTCTACTTCTTTTGCCTTCTACTTTTCCCTGGATGGTAAGTTTTTCAAGACCATTTCTTCGAAGCACATGTCCAAAATAGCTTATTATCTGTTCTGTTATTTGTGTTCTTAGTCTTTTCTTTATGTTTAGCTGGACCAGTATGGATTCATTTGTTCTTCGGGCCACCCATGGTATTCTCAGCATTCGTCTCCAGCAGTACATCTCAAATACATCTATGTTCTTTTTGTCTTTCTCAGTAAGGGTCCAGCATTCCGATGCATAAGTAAAAACTGGAAAAACTAGACTTCTTACTAGTCTCATTTTTGTATCGGTAGTAATTTCATGGCTTTTCCAAATTTTTGTTAATTTTGCCATAGCGCTTTTTGCGATTGCTGACCGCCGCTTTATTTCTTCAGTACAGCCTCCTTTGTTGGTTATTAATGAGCCCAGATACACAAATTTATCTACAACAGCGATATTGTTTATCCTAACCAGATGATTTTGATTGTTGTTAGCTCTGTCAATTATCATAGACTGCAATGGACCGTTGGAATTTTTATAATCTAAGTAGGAGACGAAGATATATTTTTGTATTGATTTAAAGGGAGATAGTTCTTTTGTCATGATAATTGACAAAAGAACTATCTCCCTTTAAATCAATACAAAAATATATCTTCGTCTCCTACTTAGATTATAAAAATTCCAACGGTCCATTGCAGTCTATTATAATTCCAAAAAATAGCACAAACCCTAATCTTATCTTATAACACTTCCCCCATTAACCCATACAACATTAACCCCTATTCTCATTACACTGTAGGTATACTATACAGACGCGTCTAAAATTGAGAATAGAGTCGGAGTGACAATAATTAACAGCACAGAGATTCTTAAACATAGAATTTCAGATTGCAACTATATTAACAAGACAACTCTATGCAATTTATCAAACGATACTGCACTACTGCAAATAAGATGAAGAAAATATAGTCGTTACAGATTCTAGGTTATCACTACAAATAATTAAGAAAATATACACGCAGCATCCATAAGCTTTACCAATAAAGAAAGAACTAAATAAATTGTATACTGAAGATACAAGCATGAAGTTTCTCTGGGTCCCGTCACATGTTGGAATAGCAGGTAATGACGCAGCAGATAGAAATTCCAAAAAAGCTATAAACGACAACAGTATCCCCATATCACCTCAATCTGTGAAGTATGAATCTAAAAAGCTAATTCCTAAAGCACCTGTTTAAGAACTTTAACAATAAATGGAAATCCCCACCATCAAAGCTTTAGCAGATAAAAAATAAGATTGGACCATGGCATACCCGAGGTATCCAGACGAAAGCAAATAATTATTTTCCATTTACGGCTTGGGCATACCCAGTTTTCTCATAAACATTTGTTTAAAAAGAAGAACGCCCAATTTGTGATGAATGCGTAACGAATTATTTTGCCTACCACATATTGTATTATTATGGGGATTGAAAATTGAGACTGAAACTATTGGACTAGAGAAAGGGTAAGCAAAACTAATCGAAACTTATGCGAACGGCACTCAGGGCTTAATTTTAGAGCTGGGGTCGCGGATAAGTTAAATAGCAAGGGGTCGGATTGGGGCAACTACAAAAATGAAACAAAAAGAGGGTACTTACATAATCTCCTGGACAAATGGGCATACAAAAACAATAAGAAAGACATCTAGCTATTTGAAATAAGGACGCCTCTTCGAAGGATCCTAGTCTTGCTCGATAAAGGAAAAAAAGGCTCTTCTTTGCTAAAATAAGAAATACGAAAAGGAGTTAAGAGACTTTTCTAAAATAAAAAAACAAAAATGATTTAGAGAAATAAATTAAACATTTATTGTTGTCTCAACAGAAACAGTTACACATACAGATAATACAAAAATAATTACGATATAAATTGTTACAAGCATTCATACCAAAATAATGAAAAAGAAAAAAAAAACTTACATATGTCCTATTCGTTTACAAATTCTGTTTAAGTGGCAGATGCTACAAACTTTCCAAAAATTGTTACTCGGCTATAACTGTGGCAGAAATAAATTATTGCAATTAAAGAATTATCTTTTAAATGAAAACATTCATACAGGTTAACATTTTCTAAAAATAAAACAAACTAATGTCACAAAAATAATAAGGCTAGCTGTCATATATCAACATAAAATATTACTTTCAACGGAGAACAAAATAAAATGACAGCATAGCCACACCCTAAGATTTACTATATATTAATTATTACAATTCCTTTTTTTTTATTATGAAACTATGAAAGCAATTATTATTTTAATGTTTATTTTTCATTCAAAAGATTAAAACAAAAAAGTCACCTTGATTTCACCAAAAAAATGCACTAAAACTTCTAGGGTTAGAACTGGAATTATACTGGAATTTCTGCTACGCACGAACAAAAAGGACTGCTTCAAATGGTCTGGAAAGACGACCAGAGACAAATAAAAGTGAGGTTGAAATAAAATCAGCGGTACATTGCACACACCCCATACGAGGCTTTTTACAAAACTGGAACCATTTTCAAAACTCTGGTTCACGACAAAAATCTCTTAGATACTTAACAAAATATATAATGATTACTCTTCCAAATTTGACATATTAACAGAGAGTAAAATTCCACTATTTTCAACAAATTCGCCGGTTTTGACCGGCTTATTATAGAACTTTATCATCAATACGTGAAGTTTATAATAACGAAAGAAAATTTCATAATTCCTAGATCGTCGTTTATCTAGTGTTCTTGCTGAATGTTCTCATCAGATAGATTTCAACGTGGGCTTGTCAGTATATTTTGAATTTTCTATGATTTGCTTTATTTATTTTGCTTAGTATTTGATCTTAAGTTGGCATAAAAATCTCCGCTTCATAAATTTGAAGAAAAATTCAAATATTTCTGTAAAAACAAATAAAATTTGGACTTTACTTCTGGCACCCAAAATAGATTGGAGGGCTCATTAAAGTGCCGGAATTAGTTTTAGGAAGTTATTTTTTGTTTTTTCTCTTATTGTTTAAAAAATTCTTAAGAAAAATATAGTACACAACTCGTTTTATAAGCCCAATTACTGCACTTACTCACTTGGTTTGCACTATACTTCGTAGTTCTTACGTAATTTCTTCACGTTTCTATAATTGACTGTTTACCACAATACAACATAATATTTTAAAATACTAACTATATTTTTTTATTTCAGATTTAAATATGGCAGCTACAGAAAATACTCGAATAAACTATGTACCAATGGAAAATATTCTGCAAAAAATTAATTCAATTCATATATCTTTACCCGAGGAGGATAAAAGAAGAAATAATAAAATACTAGATGCAGTATGTATATCTTTTACCATGATTACCAATTTCTAACTAATTTTTTTTAAAGGTTTTTACTCATATCTATCTTTATTTTTTAATATATCTATTATGAACAAGAACAAAACATGAGCAAAACAAGAGCTTTGCTCATGATCCTTAAAAAAATTATTAAATGTAAAAAGTGACGTAAAATTAAATTAATTGAAAAAACTCTTAATTTGCAAGAATCATCTCCCTACCTGTTACTCACCCATCATATTAAAACTGGTAAAGAACTGCAAAGATCTCCTCACCAAACCTGGTAAAAGACAATAAAGTGTCTTTAATATGGATGCCATGTGAATGAACGAGCAGATTTGTTGGCAAAACAAGGCTCGAGAGAAACCTTTGTATAGGCCTAGAACCATTGTATGGCATAACCAAAGATGTTGCAAGTAACCAAGAATCACAAAAACAAATAAAGAGCCACTTAAGGGCAAATCCAGAATTAGAAAATAATCAAAAACCTCAATAAACAAAATATTAAAACTGTCACCAAAATCGTAACTGGACATTGTAGTTTAAGAAAACTTCTTCTTCTTTTGGCATCATAACCCTGGATGGGTCTTTGCCTGTCTGGCTATGTCCTTTCATTCAGACCTTTTTTGGGCCTTTCTCCTCCATTGTCTTATATTCATGGTTTTCAGATCGTGCTCCACGTCATCCAACCATCTCGTCCCGGGCCTTTCTTTTTTCCGCCTTCCTACCGGCTTCCAGTGTAAGATCTACTTTGTCGTTTTCCGTGTTCGTGTCTTCTTGTCGCTGAACATGTCCCAGCCATGACAGTCTTTGACTTTTCACAAATTTTACAATGTCATACCCTTTATTCAGTTCATTAATCTCGTCCTTTCTCCTGATTCTCCATGTGCCGTCTTCCTCTTGCACCGGGCCATATACTTTTCTCAGTATCTTTCTCTCGAATTTCCTGAGTTAGGCTTTCGCTACTTGCGGAATCCTTCTGCTTGATTTCTGTGCCCAGATATGTGAAGGCATCCACAGTCCACACGTTCAATAGTATAGTTGTCTATTGCTATATTATTTTCATTTTTAGGTGTTCTTTTGATGGTCATGTACTTAGTTTTTGTTTCGTTTATTTTAAGCTCTCTTTTTGTGCTTCAGGATCAATTTCCTTGAACGTTTTCATTAGTAACATCTTGCTTCTACTAATAATGGGGACATCGTCTGCAGTAATTTTGATTGTTTTGGTGTTTATATGGCCGGTTACATTGTTTTTTCTGGTGACTGCTTCAAGAACTAGGTTAAACAGCATGGTTGAAAGTGCGTCTCCCTGTCCCATGTTGACGTCAAACAGGGGAGATAGTTCTCCATCTACTCTAACTGTGTCTTTTGAATCCTGCAACGTCATTTTTATGAGGCTGATATATTTTTTAGTATACGTAGATTTCGGTCTTCCAGCATTTTGTCCCTTTTCACACTATCAATATTATATAGTTCTATTCGTATTCATAGGCTTTCTCTTGTATTGTTCTAAGTATGAATATGTTGTCTGTAGTGGCTCTATTTGGTCTGAATCTATTTTGATAATCACCAATTATATTTTCGGAGTATTCTGACAATCTAGTGTAGACAAAAACGAGAGAGGTGATATGCTAATCCAGTTCTGTCAAGAAGAAAAATTAGTCATTGCGAATACCTGATACAAACTGCCACCTCGGAGACTCTACACCTGGCAGTCTACACAACATACGCATGACAACATCGTAAGAAATCAAATTGATTTTTTATTGATTAATCAAAGATACAGAAATGGATTGCAAGGAGTAAAAACGTACCCTGGAACAGATATCGGATCTGATCAGAATCCCGTAGTAGGAAAATTGAAAATTAAGCTTAAGAAAATTAAAAGAAAATCCATAAAGAAAATTGATATAAATAGCTTAAAACAACCTAACGTTAAACTCAAAGTCACAGAAATATTAAATGAGGCAATAGTGGATATCACGACAAGATCTAAACACTAAACAACCGGCCAGTATAGAAGACAAATGGAATTGTATTAAAAAAGCTATCGAAACCACCACCAAGTCTCTGATCGCTTCCCAAAAGTACAAAAAGAAGAATTGGATGACTGACGAAATATTATCAATGATGGACGGCCGCAGATCATTTAAAAACAAAGACCGAACCAAACATCAGCAGATCAACCGACAAATACAAAAAGAGTGTCGCAAAGCTAAAGAACAGTGGCTACTAGACAGATGTGCAGAAATGGAGGAATTGGAAGAAAAACATGACCACTTTAACATACATAATCTTATTAAATAAGTAACAGGTCATACAAAACCTTGCAGTTTTAACAGTATTGTGAAGAGAAGTAACATAAATTAATTACTGATCCCAAAGATCTACTTTCAAACATTGGAAAAACTACACACAGCAACTATACTCAGACCCAACGAGAAGAAACTCTGAAAGTGAATATAAAAGTGAATCCTCCCCCAAAATATTGAAGGCAGAAGTTGTAAGGGCAATCAAAAATAGCAAATGGGTAAAAGCACCAGGCCCAGACGACATGTACATAGAGGTTCTAACAATGTTGAGGGAAGACAATTTAGACGCCCTGGTAGATCTTTTTAATGACATGTATGGGTCCGGTCAAATACCACAGGACTGGCTTCAATCAACCTTTATATCAATCCCAAAAAAGCCAAATGCTAATAGGTGCGACCAATTCCGAATGGTCAGCTTATTGAGCCAGGTCCTAAAACTCTTCTTAAAGATAATTCACACAAGAATATACAACAGATGTGAAAGAGACATTAGCCTCACACAGTTCGGTTTCAGACAAGGATTTGGCATAAGAGAAGCACTTTATAGCTTAACTGTCCTACTTCAGAAATGCAGAGATCAGCAAAAATATGTCTTCCTATTCTTTATAGATTACCAGAAAGCATTCGATTGTGTTAATCATTTAGAATTAGTAAGATTGCTCCAGGAACGTTCGATAGATGAGAATGACCTTAAAATCATAAAGAATCTTTATATGAATCAAGAGGCATCTGTGAGAGTAGGACTGGAATCTACATCATATTTCTCAATCGAAAAAGATGTACGACAGGGTTGTGTTCTGTTACCCCTCCTTTTTAATCTTTACTTTAAAACGATTTTCGATAGAGGCTTAAGTGACACTAAAGATGGAATCAAAATCAACGGACAGACTATTAGTAATCTTCGCTATGCTGATGATACAGTCGTAATAGCTGATAGCCAAGAAGCGCTACAACGACTAATAGATAGAATACACACTGAGGGAGAACGACTGGGCTTGAAGATTAATATAGACAAGACGAAGATAATGGTGGTTAGTAGAACACGAAATATGCAATTAAATATAAGAGTAAACAATAAGAACATCTAAAAGGTTCCCAAGTTCAGATATCTCGGTAGTTGGATAACTGAAGATCTAGATCCAGACATAGAGATACGTAGCAGGATTAAGCAAGCCAGAACAGCATTTACGAATATGAGAACCTTGCTAAGCAACAGAAGCCTCAACTTAACGCTTCGATATCGCTTTGTAAAATGTTACATTTACTCCATACTGCTATATGGTGTAGAAACCTGGACCATAAAGGCCAATGTGATGAACCGATTGGAGGCCTTTGAAATGTGGGTATTTAGAAGACTACTTAAAATTCCCAGGACAGATCACACATCAAACGTCGAAGTATTAAATCGAATGGGTAGAAAACGAGAATTGCTGCCAATAATAAAAAGAAGAAAAACTGCTTATCTGGGTCATATATTTCGAAATTCCAAATACCAGTTCTTAAAGCTTATTATGGAAGGGAAGATAGAAGGAAAATGAGGCATCGGAAGAAAGAAATACTCATGGCTTAAAAACATAAGGGATTCGAAAAATCTCGATGCCCATGCACTTTTTAGAGCTACACAAGATCGAGAGGAGTATGCCAGAATTGTCTCCAACATCCACTAATTGGATAGGGCACCATAAGAAGAAGTGTAGACAATGCCAGAAAGGATTTTGTACATTATATTTAGCAGTGTAATTGGTCTGTAATCCTGACATTCCCTTTTATCTCATTTTTATATATTGGCTGTATAAGACCAACTGCCCATTCCTCCGGCTTGGAAAGAATGGATTCTTCCCCAAAGTTCGGATCCTCGATATTTCAACAATTCTGCTAAAACTCCGTCCGTTCCTGGCGCTTTATTGTTTTTTAGTTTGTTTATTATTTGAACTACTTCTTTATAATTCGGATTTTCAATGCGCTGCTTTTATCATCATACCATTCCACATTTCTTTCCTTTTTGACTTTTCCGACAGTTTCCTTTGTATGTTTCATTATTATTATTTTTAATTGTCTCCATTTTTCCTCTGCAGTATCTTTCTCTCTGATTTCGTTGAGTTTTATTTGGGGAGTATTTTGATATTCTTGTGTCTTTGTTGGAGTTATGAATCCTTTAACATCCCATTTTTTAATTTGGCTATTTTTCCCTTTTACCACTGTCGCGATTTTCTACCGCAATTTTGCCCCGAAAAAATAGTCAGAGTTCCTTTTGCCTGAGTCAGAGTTCGGGAAAGAGAAATGTGGGACGTAGAAGGATTTCCTGGTTGCGAAATTTAAGGAAGTGGTATGGGTACAGTTCAATACAGTTATTCAGAGCTGCAGCCAACAAAGTAAAGATTGCTGTGATGGTAGCCAACCTCCGATAGGAGACGGTACTGCAAGAAGAAGAGTCAGAGTTCGCCCCGCGATACGTTCTAACGTTAGTTATGTCTGTTACCCGTCTTTTTGGGATGAGGATGAGGTCAATTTGATTGGCTAGTTTAAGAAAGCACCTATACAAAAAGGTAAGGTAAATGAATCATGGTGCAGAACATTCGAAATAGAAGAATAGACCGTTATACACATCCTATATCATTGCAATGTGGTTAAGTCTGTAGGTAGTTTTAAGAGATCCTACAACTACCAATTGAGGAAACTGTTGGC